AGCATGCTGGCTGGGGAATTCTGGGCGTTGAAGTCCACTCATCTTAAAGGGGCCAAGTTTGGACAACACTGGCCTAGGCAAATCCTTAGAAAATTGTGGGTTGCTCTGAAGAAGGAATGCAGGAGGAAAGCTGATGTGGCCATCTTGCTGATGGTGATTAGTGAGCCTAGAGGAAAAATCCTCTAGCAGAAGTGCCTTGGGAACCCTAATTTATTTATTTTATTTATTAGCTAAATTTAGTGTGGCTGCCCAACTCCTTTTGTGGGCTTTTGGAGGTCTTGCCCAGGATAAGTCACCCAGCTCATCTGCACTGATGCCGAGACAATGCTGTACAAAAAAAGAAAAAAGGGATATTGCTCTTTATCTCAACGTATTTGGAGAAAAAGTTGAATAGGCCATTGCTTGGAGGTCTTAAATTTTAATAAGTAAGACAGTGTGGTATGGAAGAGTTTCATTTACTTTCTCCCCAAAGGGGAAATATTGGTTATTTCCCACTCTAAAATAATTTCTTTTACAATCCCCTCTCAAGAAAGGAGGTGTGAGCTTATGAAAAAAATAAATAAAAAAGCACCTGCCTTCTCAGTTCATTTCAAAGGCTGCGGACCCAGAAAAAAATGAGAGAAAGGAGCATCAGTTGTTTATTTCCTCGTGTGTAAGTGAAAAATAAAAATAAGTGCAAGCGTACTTTTGAAAGATATTTTTCTTTTCTTTCAAGGTTATCCTCACAAAAGGCTGTGAGATTAAATTATATACATTTGTTTTAAAACAAAATCAGAGACTTCAGATACATACCTAGAAAGCCAGTCCTTTGAACCAGAGAATCCATCTGGCTTCATAGCAGGAAGAGAACTGGATGACCCATTGCTTTGATCCAGCTGAGAAGCCAACTGAAAAGTTAAGTTAGAAGTTGCAGGTTCACATCTCCACATCCTGAACCACTGTACTGCCTAAATTTGGGATGTCAAGCTCCTAGCTAATCAATAGAAGAGAATATATGTAGCTCAGGGTTGAACTGTGGAGTCCTTGGGGTTCAACCAAGCTCAGAGAACCACAAGGTCCTAGCTAATCATAGTGAAAAGTCACCGGGACTAGATGTAAAGACTGCAAGGTTGTAGCTGTGCTGGGTTGAGTTAAGACTTCCAGATCCAATTGTTCCTTGATCTGTAGCTAGCAGGAGAATCATTGGGTGGAAACCAGTTGGACATATCTGCCTCACTTCTTCTGTGTATTGCTTTCTCACCTTTTCCCTCATTGTCTTCTTCATTCTCAAGTCCTGGCCATGCACGAGAATGTATTAAAATGCCCAACACCTGGATGCACCGGACAGGGCCATGTAAATAGCAACCGCAACACTCACCGAAGGTAAGTGACTTTCTGTCGCATCCTAGTTATTGAGAACAGTTGCTCAAATTCAGATAGAATGGTTGGCAAATAATCGGGAATCAGTCAACTATATGTTTAACAAACATGGTCAGCTGATTGGGACAGCCATTGAACTGGAGGAGGGAGAAGAATTTTTAAAGGGGCTGGAAATGGATGGTGTCACTGGAAATTGTCTTGCATTTTTGTCTCACCACTTTGCCTTCGTTTGCATGAAAAAGAATTTTCTTTGGAAATGCGTCTCAAAGGAAAAGAGAACTTTTACGAAGTTCTTATAGATCCAGTGTGGTATTCTTGCACTTATGTAGTGACAAAGCAATTAAGGAGTGGATGTGAATGTCCTCCTTTTCACTATATCACCATCTCTCCCACAGCCTTCCTGGCTGCCTACGCTAGAGAAGGCACTAGTCTTACCGTACTGCTTTTTTAGAAGCCGAGGTAATGTCACCCCTTTGAGAAGTTGTTGGAAAACTTCTCCTTTCTTTGTGAAAGGAGGAAATCTTTGAGGAAATCTTCTACCCAGTTTCCCTCAGATTTGGTGGAGAAATTCAGAAGATCATTTGTGCCCAATGGCTCAAGCATTCTATGCTAGGTTTATTTTTGACTAGGGTTTTTTTTTCCCTGATGTATCTTGAAAGATTGATAATATTGTTTTTTTTCCTGATGTATCTTGAAAGATTGATAATATTGTTTAAATTCTTGCATTAGCCTCTTTTCTGTGTAAAATATTTCGAGATATCTAGGGCACTGTACAAATTCACAAAATTGTTATATTTATTTTATTGTATTTTATCCTTGCGTTCCTCTCCTACATTATTTTTCTGTTTCTTCCTTGTTTTCTTCCACTAGCTTATCTGGGTGTCCCATTGCAGCTGCAGAAAAATTAGCCAAAACTCATGAGAAGCAACAACCCCCAACCAGTGACCCTTCAAAAAATCACTCAAATTCAGATCGGATACTCAGGTAATCCAGCCTAACGGATTCTAATCCACTGTGTTTCTCCTTTTCCTCTGAAATAACCAGCTACAGTTTAGCTGGTTGGCAGTACATCTCCTTCCCACTAATGCATCTCTTACTGTTAATTTTTTTTGGGGGGGGGGATGGGAAAAATGTAATATTCCTAATCAGAGCATGCTGGACAACAAATGTCTTCTGTGGCATCCATTAATTCTGAGATGACAGGCCAAGGGGTTTTTAACAGAATCCCAAGCAACGTCTTACTGTCTACGCAGCAGTGCAGATGGCCAGAAAATCACATTGATTAAGTTGACATTACGAAGAGGGGAGGACAAAAAGCCATCTTCACTTTTCCATTTTTCACTTTCTGTTACGTGTTACCATTTCTCCATGCCTTTCGGTTTCACAGGCGGTGTGGAATGGAGCTTGATTCTAATTAATTGGCTTAATAAACTTACTCTCTGCAACTCCCATCATTAGCTGATTACAGGCTGTATCCGTGGGCCATCTAATGTGGATGCTACAGAGCCAGATGGAAAAGGAACAACCAAAGTTTTAATTTTTAAAATCCCTTTAGTTAAAACCACAGAATAGAATAACGCAGGTGAAATGAAACCAACTTACTCTGCTTGGAAGTGCAAAAATATAGGTTATGTGCTCTGTGAGATGAGTGGCAAATTTCCAGGCACTTAAAACCCATCTGGTTCTAGGTCAGTAAATCAATTCAATGTAATCCAGATTGGAAGCAGTGCCAGCAAGTGAGGACTATCATGGCATGTGCTTCAAAATGTAATAGACATGGTTTCTTTACTCTTGTAGTCTAAGGCAGGGTTCCTCAACCTCAGCAACTTTAAGATGGGTGGACTTCAACTCTCCCCATGGCTGGCTGGGGAATTCTGGGAGTTGAAGTCCACCCATCTTAAAGTTGTTGAGGTTGAGGAACCCTGGTCTAAGTGATAGGAGTGTACAGTAATCTGGATTCAAAGGGATTCAAAAGGAGATCTGGAACTTCCATGAGTGTGCATCTCACACCCATTGGCACCTTCTTAAATCAAGCACCTTCTTAAATCAAGCAGGTGGGGAATTGCACAGGAACCCAGGAAAAGATGCAGCTTCATCAAGGAGTTGCTGATACATGCAACATGCACAGCACCCATGTTCTGAATGACCTTTTCCCCTCAAATCCAGATCAGTGTGCAGCCCTAGCAAGTCATTCTGATTTACATATCAGAGATGAATCCTTTACACTGAATAATAATTGCAGTCATAACCACAATTTATACAACGTTTATTATTAAATAAATGTCAGAATAATCACTTGTAGCATTTCTACACAGCTTCTAATTGCTTGAAATGTTTAATGTATATCTAGGAAACCTGCAATATACATAGCATTACCATCCCCCTCCCCATAATCAGAATGGGAGAGGGGTGACAGAGAGACAGTATCTTACCCAAGGCTGCCTAATCTGAAGATTAGAAGCAAAAGATTCCTGATTTGCAATTTAGGCTTCGTTCCTATGCAAATGTGGGGTGCGTGCAGGGACATCCATGGAAGAGTCAGCATGCTGTGACGCATGTTAAATGGGGCAGGTCTTCGATTGCCCAGTCACACCCAACATGTTGACCCTGCAACTCCCACCCCTTGGATGTGTGATCTTTTACTCCTGGATGCCACACATGGGCCAAGCTCAGATTGAGCAGTTTGTGGACCACAACAGCCATTTCTGGCCCAAGTTCCTTTGTGGTGGGCAGGGGCAAAATTTTGCATCCGATTTTTTTATTTCAAGTGGTTGGGGTTCTCCATTTCCCCCAATTGGCTACTTCTTTCTCTTTGGGGAAACTGTAGGAGCCAATTGGCTTTCCTGAGCAAATAACCCAAAATCTCAAAAACACATTTGAGTCCAATTCACCCTGATGGTCATCGTTCCATCACCAGCCACCCTGCTGAGGCTCCCAGGGAAGGTGGGAAGAAGAAGCACTAGGCTAAAGAGTTACCCCAACCCCCAGCCCACCCTAAGTGGATTGTTAGATGGGTAGAAGTTCTCTCAGTTCACTGGGATCATTAAGTGGATATTTTTCCCAGCCATCCCAATTAAGATCATAGTCATGACTTAGGGTAGCAGTCTTTTGCCATCTTCCCACCTGATTGCTGATCAGTTGTAGAGCTCTTCAGAGCACCATGAACATGTTGTAACTGACAGACTATATGGTGTCCACATTTCCTATATATTCTTACCTAGGATTTTCCAAACAACTGTTTTCCATTTCTCACAAACAATTTGAAAACAACATAGGATCATCATCATTTTTTCAGTTTGAAAATGCTGAAAACCCAATAAATTAATCAGTATTCCCTCCAGCTGATTAATAGGAAAGTACAAAGAACATAACTCATTCAATACTCCCTCTACACACAAGGAACTAATTCTCTCTTTCCCTTTCTCTCTCTCTCTCTCTCTCTCTCTCTCTCTCTCTCTCCCTC